TATGAAGAAATAAGTTGTGGACCTTTAATAAATAAGGTGTGGTGGCCTTTAATCCCAGAACCCAAGAGGTGGAAACAGGCAGATCTTTCATGAGTTTGATGCAAGCCTGGCCTACATAACAAGTTCCAGGCCAGCCAAAGCTCCATATGGAGACCCTCTTTCAAAACAAAACACAAAAGCTCTTGTATCAACTATGCGAGCTCAGAATTAGTCCAAGTTTAAACAAGGATGGAGACCCAGGCTGGCCCACTGGCTTGTGAGACTCTGAGTAGGGTTCCATTAAGCCATGCCCAAATTCCTGAGCCACAGACACTGCAGATTAACAGATGGGTGTTGTCTGAAGCTGCCATGTCTATGATAATTTGTACTTCAATAACACAAAGAGAAGTAAAGTTTCCCACTAAGACAGTCAGACTTTAGGACTTGTGTTCTAACTGCTGGTGTCAGATCCCCTATGATAAAACTTGGGAGTTCCAAAGGAACACTTATTCATATGGCCATCCTGGTATTTTAGACCACAGACGATAGTCAACACTGATGGAAGGTAGGCTTTGGATCAGGTGACTTTGGCTTCACTGTCACTTGATATAGGTGCTCTGAGCATGTCTACACTAGGTGCGACCGAGACATGATGGTAGATTAACTGTATTAAACACGTTTTTTGTTTACTTCAGTGCTTGGATTGAATCCAGGGTTGAAGTAAACTGTCCTGGACAGGTGCGTGTGTTTGAACATTTGGTCCCCAGCTGATGGGCTGTTTTGGAGATTTTGGAACCTTTTGACATTGGGCCTAACCGACAGACAGACCACTGTGGGTGTGGAAGGGGTTACAACATGCATGCGGCCTACCAAGCTGGGGAATAAGCTGTTCCCTAGGCTTCTACGACAGAAGATCCAGCCAGGTTAGTCACTGTACCTTCTTCAGCAAGACGCTGTGATCTGTGTTAGCCATCATGCCTTCTCTACCAAGAAACTGTGATCTGTGTTAGCTATTGTACCTTCTCTGCCATGAAACTGTGAACTAAAATAAATATTCCTTTTAAGTGGCTTGTAACTGGTATTCGGTTATAGGGAAAAGAAAAGAACCTGATGCGCAGGCAAACTCCTCACTCTTGGGCTACAACCCCCTCTATTTTTGACTTTCAACATTTCACATCATCTGTAATGGTTACCTGTACATTTGACCTACTAGCTTTAAAAAAAAAAATGGTTTCCAAGACACCTGGGTAATAACAGAATGGATCACAGATCTCAGAAAGCCTCTTATTTTTATCAAAAAAAAAAAAAAAGATGCAAATAAACAACAAGATCCAGACATTTATAAGGGGGGGGTCTGGACGGGTCCCAAGGCAGAACTCTCTGTCCCCAAAGGAATGAGGCTTCTAGCGCTTGGACACAGTTATCAGCTGAGAAGCTCCCTGAGTCCTACTGCTTAGGGATGTTCTTACTATGACATTACTGACAATTAAGCCATTAGCCTTGGTGATAAACTAAACCTTCAACCTCTCTTCACTCCACAGAGGTCAGAGGTTTCAATGGAAAGTTCAAAAGCTCTAGTCAAGGCTTAGGCTTCCTAGTGATCGGCCTCTATTCTAAAACTGCCAGCTTGTAGGAAAGGACCATCTAGCTCCTTTGTTATTCAGGAATTCCCAAGGCTTTAGGAATCAGGTGCAAAAAAAAAAAAAAAAAAAAAACCCAAACATGTATTTTTCCCATGTACTACCCTAGTTCTAAGGCCTTTCAGGTAATGACTACTAATTGGCCAAAGGCCAATGAGTGAGGGGCTGAGTTGAGACCAAAGTTCATTTTTTCTCTCAGGACTTTGTTTCTCAAAGACTCTTGCTGCTACTCTGAAAATTAAAAAATGAAATAAAGTAAAGTAAATAAAAACAAAAAATATAAATATGAAAATATTAAGGGGACATTTTTAACTGTAAAGAATAAGAAAACACTGATCAAAAGTTAGTTTTTTGGTGAGTCATACTCATTAGGGATCTATTACATAAATCAAAAGGGGGTATGAGACTAAATAACTTCTTGACGGTTACATTGTTTGAAGAGCAGAAATCTGACCGTGGGCCTGACCCCATCTTCCTCCTCTTTACCACACTACCAAAGAGCAAAAGGAGAACATGTAAGCCATCTCCTAGGAGATATAGATGAGCAGAATTATGTTAGGAAGGAATATACCCAGAAAGTTCTGTGTCAGAGAGTAGGTATAGAGAAAAATGAATAATCATGCCTACAGGATTTAACCTGATCCTAAAGAAAACTTTTCCAGAAGCAAGGCTAACTACATACTAGCAAGAACTCCAAAATAAAACCTCTAAAATTCTGCCTCAGTCTTTCTGTTTATGATACGTTACATAAAAACAACAAGAAAAATGTTTTGGGGTGATTTTGCAAGCTAATGAAAATGCTTGTGCAAGTCCCAGGCTTATAAACTTGACCACAAGGCTGACGTAAGTAAATGATTATTAAGATAGCCATTGCTTTCTAAAGAAGCAGAACAAATCCTGATACCATCACAGTCTCACACACTCCCTTTCACACTTGGAATCCTCACTAGCTTTTCTCATGGTTGAAATTTCATACTCAGTATTCAAATTACCCACACTTCTTCATTGCATCAAAAGCAGTCTTGGGGCGGGGTCACTGGGTGACTGTATCCTGTGGGCTAGGGGAAAAGATAGAAAATATAGAAAAAGAACTCATAGTCCTGTGCCTTTCACTTCCCCAGCCTTCCAGCCCCAGTCCAGGACCTTGTAGCCCTGTCTTCTCCTATCACTCCACTTTTTATATCCAGCCCTTCCATTCTGTCTTTTTACGAAATGCACAAAAGGCTGGTGGCTTCTGCTGGATGTGGCTAAGTCCCGTTACTAACTCTAGGTATCCAGAATCAGCCCTTTCTACCTGTGGATTCCTTGCCAGCACCTAACTGAAAAGGAAAAAGAAAAGTTTAGGAAGTAGGAAGAGTATGAATGAGGGATAATCAGGAATGATGGATATGCATAAATGGCCATTATCATCTGATTTAAGCAAGTCTTGGATTAAATCTATAGAGCATGTAGACAATAAATACTGTCTAAAGAAGAAACTATACCATATTCAGAGATTAGACATCTTAATACAGTTAAGACAGCAAATATTCCTATTTCACAGATAAAGAAAAATCTTATGCACAAAAAGATTAAATAGCTTGTCCAAGGCAGCTTGTAGTGGGTGAAGCCATGACCCAGAAATAAACAACCTAGGTCTAGAGGCTGTGCAAGTAATCTGGCTTTTCCCTTGTTCATGCTCTGTGCTATTCTCACAGCCTTTCTTCTCTGTGTGCTTCCTGTACCTTAGAGAGCAAGAACATCTTATTCACTGTGGCATCTGCTAGTACTTCTCATGTTTCTCAGTAACTTGTCTAATCACTGGGACTTACGTGTCTATGTTCAATGCATTCTATGCAAGTCAGAACAAAAATATAGCCCCAAACACTCAGGTTTAATAACCATTCTTAAGAAAAAAAAAATGACCTTCTTAGCTGTTTTTCTTTCCTGGTTTTTTAGTCTTTAAATAATTTAAATGGCAGATCTAAAATTTAGTTTTAATATAGTTTTCTAAATAAGAATTTTGAGACATTTCTCATTATTATATTAGTTGAGAACAAGAATTATGCAATTTCTTATTTCCTCTTTTTCTTTGTAATAGGAGTACCTAATAAATATTAAACAGTGATGCTTCCATTACCACTATAAAATTATAAAGAGGAAAACAAAAACTTTCTTTATTTTTTGGAATAAAATTTATAGTTAAAGAGGGGCAATAAGAAAGGATTTATTTATAACTCTTTGGTTTACAACAGAATACTAAATACAACAGACATTTATAGGGCATGTGAATATGAAATGATTAGCGTCACCCAGAATTAGCCTAAGAAACAGTGGTAGAGTGCTCTTTGGCTGGATTGTAGAAGTCTAAATCTGGCTGTTTTTAGTGCCTTGCTATGTTCAAGGCCTTTGCAATAATACAGGTAACCAATCCTCTCTGACCACTTTAGTTACCACAAATCCAAGTGACCTCTTTGCTTTTTATGGAACTGATGCGCAGGAATGTGTTCAGAGAAAATGGTCTCCTAAAGAGACTCAGTGTTAACACTCAGTAGTCAGAAGTTGGGACTGAAACTTTTGCTGAATCTTTTGTCTTTGCAGCAGCAGCCAAACTGGCATTCAAATCTGCATGATCATGACGACTGATATATATATATATATATAT